CAATAAGAGTCTCTCAACATCTTCCATCACTTGCGATCTCTGTTTCGAAAACACAGTTGAATCTTTGGCAAGAACAGCTTCCTTGATTGCCATTTTCTTGGACACAATAGTAGCGATGGTTGATTGGGGTTTACTATACAACCTGGCCAGCTTGGAGACATGCACTCCACTTTCATACTTAGCAATGATCTCTTTCTTCATCTCTATAGTAATTCTCACCCTTATTCCTGTAGGGTTGGCACTAGAAGCTTTCTTGGGGCCCATGGTCACTTATTTTGCAGATAAAATTACCAAAAACACTGTAATAATACGAAATGTTCTGATTGTATGCTTGGATGTTACCGCGGAGGCTGGCTGGTAAACAATGCCACCGGCGGAACATGTGAGGCTGGCTCAGGCCGCACATTAGACGCGTCTCGGACGAATAGCGTTGAGCGGGTTTTTTAGCGGTATGCGAGGCAAAATCTTAGCAATAAAATGTATCGGTATGCGGATTTAACGTTATGTGATGCCAACGGTATGCAGGGGTCCACTGCATAGTGTTGGTGGCGGCGGCGGTGTTGTCAGTGACCTTATATACCTCAAATAACAATGGAGGAGTCAGTTTCATGTTGTCATTTTTCTATCTCTTGATTGCTTAACTTACTTGTTACACTGTTACTGCTACACCTTATCACTGGCTGGTGCTATTGCATTTGTTGACTCCTGCTGCTTTAGTATTGTACATATCACAGAATCACTGAAGCAGGCACATTCTCCCCTCTCTCTCAGCCCTTTACCAAAGGGTTGGATGGCACTAGGAACTTTCTTTGGGCCCATGGTGGCTTATTTCGCAGTCACAATTAATAAACAAACACCAAAAACAAGGGATTATTACGAAATGTTTTGGAATGCGCAAAGTAATGCTCACTCGACCAGTGACAGAGGCAGACTGAGAGGTGTAGTGGTGGTGTCCCCTGGGCGGCTGGGCAGGCAGACACGTATCATACATCTGGAGCAAAGTCCAATAACTGGACAAAATTTCACACAAAAAAACGATCTGAAAACCGAAACATCCAATAACTGGAGCATGTGAAAACCGTGGTTCCACTGTATTTCATTATTTTTTTTTTTTTTTTTTGAAAATTCTTCGACACTGAGAGCAAGCTTGTGAGCAATGGTCTTGACAGTGAAAGGGTTAAACGTCATAGTATATTACGTATGGGTGGGATGGGGTGGGCTGACCTGGCTGGCTATCATACCTCCCACACTTGACTTCCTACAAATAAATACGACTCACCTCTCACCCTACATTAAGAGTACAGTGGACCCTCAACCAGCGATGGCATCGATTAACGATAAATCTGACTAGCGATACATTTTAACACAAAAATTTTGCCTCGACTAGCGCTTAAAAACCCGACCAGCGCTCTTAGTTCCGTACCATACGCGTCCACTTTGGCCTGAGCGCGCCTCACTTGTCCCTTGGTGCTAGTGTTTACAAGCCAGCCAGCCACCGCGGTCGCTTCCAAACATACAACTGGAACATTTCATATTATCACAGCCTTTGTAGTGAGTGTACCTGCAAAATAAGTCACCATGGGCCCCAAGAAAGCTTCTAGTGCCAACCCTACAGCAAAAAGGGTGAGAATTACTATGGAGATGAAGAAAGAGATCATTGCTAAGTATGTAAGTGGAGTGAGTGTGTCTGAGCTGGTCAGGTTGTATAATAAACCCCAATCAAACATCGCTACTATTGTGGGCAATAAAACGGCAATCAAGGAAGCTGTTCTTGCCAAAGGTGCAACTATGTTTTCGAAACTGAGATCGCAAGTGATAGAAGATGTTGAGAGACTATTATTGGTGTGGATAACTGAGAAACAGATAGCAGGAGACAGCATCTCTCAAGCGATCATATGTGAAAAGGCTAGGAAGTTGCATGACGATTAAATTAAAAAAATGCCAGCAACTAGTGATGTGAGTGAATTTAAGGCCAGCAAAGGTTGGTTTGAGAGATTTAAGAAGCGTAGTGGCATTCATAGTGTGATAAGGCAGGGTGAGGCTGCCAGTTCGGACCACAAATCGGCTGAAAAATATGTGCAGGACTTCAAGGAGTACACAGACAGTGAAGGACTGAAACCTGAACAAGTGTTTAATTGTGACGAAACAGGCCTGTTTTGGAAGAAAATGCCAAGCAGGACCTACGTTACTCAGGAGGAAAAGGCACTCCCAGGACATAAGCCTATGAAAAACAGGCTTACTCTGTTGATGTGTGCCAATGCTAGTGGTGATTGCAAAGTGAAGCCTTTATTGGTGTATCACTCTGAAACCCCCAGAGTGTTCAGGAAAAACAATGTCCTCAAGGCTAATTTGTGTGTGCTGTGGAGGGCAAACAGTAAGGCATGGGTCACTAGGGACTTTTTCTATGACTGGTTACACCATGCATTTGCCCCCAATGTGAAAAATTACCTAATTGAAAAGAAATTAGACCTTAAGTGCCTCCTGGTATTAGACAATGCCCCTGGTCATCCTACAGATGAGGCAGAGCGACTTTCTAGGAACATGAGCTTCATTAAGGTGAAGTTTTTGCCTCCTAATACCACTCCTCTCCTGCAGCCCATGGACCAGCAGGTTATTTCCAACTTCAAGAAACTGTACACAAAAGCTATGTTTGAAAGGTGCTTTGTAGTGACCTCAGAAACTCAACTGACTCTAAGAGAGTTTTGGAGAGATCACTTTAGCATCCTAAACATTATAGGTAAGGCTTGGGAGGAAGTGACTAAGAGGACATTGAACTCTGCTTGGAAAAAACTGTGGCCAGAATGTGTAGACAAAAGGGATTTTGAAGGGTTTGAGGCTAACCCTGAGAATCCTATGCCAGTTGAGGAATCCATTGTAGCATTGGGGAGGTCCTTGGGGTTGGAGGTTAGTGGGGAGGACGTGGAAGAGTTGGTGGTGGAGGACAGTGAAGAACTAACCACTGATGAGCTGCTAGATCATCTTGAACAGCAAGAGGGCAGACCTGAGGAAACTGCTTCGGAGGAGGGGAGAGAGAAATTGAAGAAGTTGCCTACTTCTAAGATAAAGGAAATGTGTGCAAAGTGGCTTGAAGTGCAAACCTTTTTTGATGAAAATCACCCTGACACAGCTACTGCAAGCCGTGTTGGCAACCTGTACACTGACAATGTTGTGAACCACTTTAGTTAAGTCATAAAGGAACGAGAGGTACAGGTATCTATGGACAGATATGTTGTGCGACAGAAGTCCAGTGACTCTGAAGCTGGTCCTAGTGGCATTAAAAGAACAAGGGAAGCAACCCCAGAAAAAGACTTGCTGCCTCAAGTGCTAATGGAAGGGGATTCCCCTTCTAAACACTAACACCTCTCCCCTCCTCCCATCCCATCAATCATCACCAGATCTTCAATAAAGGTAAGTGTCATGTAACTGTGCATGTAATATTCAGTTTGTGTGTATTAAAATTAATATTTCATGTGGTAAATTTTTTTTTTTCAATACTTTTGGGTGTCTGGCACAGATTAATTTGATTTCCATTATTTCTTATAGGGAAAATTAACTTGACTAATGATAATTTTGACTAACAATGAGCTCTCAGGAATGGATTAATATCGCTGGTTGAGGGTCCACTGTACAAATATTTTAAGGTAAGTAATGGGTGTACTGTGTGTGCGTTTTACTTTTTATTGTTTTTAATGCCTAGTTCTATTGCTAACTTAATGTATGTTAGTGTAAACTTGTTATCTGGCATTTATATGCATTTATAAGTGGAAAAAATGACATTGTTTTCTTTCTGGCAATGTCTGCTTTCCAGCTGTAGCCTGGAACCTAACCTGCTGTATAAGTGGAGTAAGATAAGACAAGAGATAAAATTTTGTTTGGATTTTTAACCCCAGAAGGTTAGCCACCCAGGATAACCCAAGAAAGTCAGTGCGTCATTGAGGACTGTCTGTCTTATTTCCATTAGGGTCCTCAATCTTGTCCCCCAGGATGCGACCCACACCAGTCGACTAATACCCAGGTACCTATTTGCTGCTAGGCGAACAGGACAACAGGTGTAAGGAAATGTGTCAAAATGTTTCCACCCCGCCGGGAATCGACCCTGGGCCCTCCGTGTGTGAAGCGAGAGCTCTACCAGCCACGCCACGGGGTCGCCCACAGCCCTACTCTATTTCAAATTATTCTTGGATGATACACTTGTAGCCAATATGCATGTTTCAGTGAAATGTCAGCTTCACAAGTAGAGAGATAGCGCTGCATCAGAGACGTGTTTGTTCTGTGCAACACTTCTGCTCATGCAACATGTTCATAAAAGGAATATATCAGCATGCTGGAGTGCATATAAATTTTTATCAACACTAGCTTTCACTGAAATAGTAGTATTATCTGAAGGTAGGCTTTCCTTCAAGGAATATATATATATACCCAGAACAAGACATCACTTTAGTATCAAACTGTTTGTGATGTCTGATCATGAAACTGGTAGAGTATTAGATATTATTGTGTATACAGGCAAGAAAATCTTAGAAAACACCAGACCTTTCAGGAATACCAGCTACTGTTGTCATGAAAATGATGGTACCCTATCTTAGCAAGGAAAATAATTGATGCACAGATAACTGGCATACAAGCCCTTCACATTTTGTGGATTTCTTTAAGGTTAACAATACAGAAATTTGTGGGACAGTGCAAGGAAATAAAAAAAAATATATGCCATCATTCAGAAACCATTAACTCATAATGAAGTGCAAGTACTTCATGCCAAAGACACGATGACATTCAGATGAACTGATAATAGGGCTGTAATAGCACTGACAACCTTACATACATGATATGAAACAAACTGGTAATGTGTATTAGACATACATAAAAGCGCATTGGAAAACCACTTGCAATTATCAATTACACTAACAAGCATTTGGTTGACAAATCAGACAGACAAATTTAAAAAGTTATACATACAAGCAAGGATCAAAATTATTTTGCTAGCCCCTAAAGTGTCATACCTGCTTAATGTTAATATCTGTGTGTGGCTGGAACCATTTTGCAACCAGCAATGCGCCCATCTCCAAAGACTGCTGAGATGGTTGTCTTGCCATAAACTCTTCCCATTCACGAATGCATATTCCTTGACGAACATGGCTCATTACTTTTAAGGCATAGTACTTCTCTGTCATGTTTTCAAATCTGTGCATAAAAAGATACTACTTTAAAAAATATGATAGAAATACACAAAGGGCATTTTTATGACAATGGTTAATTTAAGATAAACATTTCAATAAATATACTGTACATAAATAAGGTAAAAAAGTGGATGCAATTTTTGGTGTAGGAAGTTGCAATAAAGCTTCATATAAAGGCCTCTCAAAATTATTCTAAATATAATTTTTACATTTTCACACACTTTATCCAAATTTACCAAGAACACAAGGATAGAGCAGAAAGGAATATTATTTAATGTTCTTAATTATCACATGAAAACATGATTATATATCTGCACAAAGAGTTTAAATTAAAATTTCGCATAACGGTTATAAAATTTTGTAACAGATAATTCTTCCTCAGGAAGGTTGTGTGGAGCAACTTTTATGCTCTTGAGAACACTAGCATTTTTCAACAAGATGTTTCAAATATAATTTACTGCATGTACCAATCTGTGCAACAATAAAAAACAAAAACTCTCAATTGTCCTTATTAATGAAATATCAATTATTTTTCCATCAGAAACAGATAGAGCTGCAAAAAATTAAATAGAGGAGAATAAATGTTGAGTTTCATCTCTCACTATTAAAAAGTTTTGTTAAGAGTAAACAGTCAAGTACAATATGTCGAGAGGCAGCAGTCAAGACAACACGATAGTTAAGAAGCAGCAGTCAAGACAATACGATAGTTAAGAAGCAGCAGTCAAGACCAAATGATAGTTAAGAAGCAGCAGTCAAGACCAAATGATAGTTAAGAAGCAGCAGTCAAGACCAAATGATAGTTAAGAAGCAGCAGTCAAGACCAAATGATAGTTAAGAAGCAGCAGTCAAGACCAAATGATAGTTAAGAAGCAGCAGTCAAGACAATACGATAGTTAAGAAGCAGCAGTCAAGACCAAATGATAGTTAAGAAGCAGCAGTCAAGACAATACGATAGTTAAGAAGCAGCAGTCAAGACCACATGATAGTTAAGAAGCAGCAGTCAAGATCACATGAGAGTTAAGAAGCAGCAGTCAAGACCACATGATAGTTAAGAAGCAGCAGTCAAGACCACATGATAGTTAAGAAGCAGCAGTCAAGACCAAATGATAGTTGAGAAGCAGCAGTCAAGACCACATGAGAGTTAAGAAGCAGCAGTCAAGATCACATGAGAGTTAAGAAGCAGCAGTCAAGACCAAATGATAGTTAAGAAGCAGCAGTCAAGACCAAATGATAGTTAAGAAGCAGCAGTCAAGACCAAATGATAGTTAAGAAGCAGCAGTCAAGACAACACGATAGTTAAGAAGCAGCAGTCAAGACAACACGATAGTTAAGAAGCAGCAGTCAAGACAACACGATAGTTAAGAAGCAGCAGTCAAGACAACACGATAGTTAAGAAGCAGCAGTCAAGACCAAATGATAGTTAAGAAGCAGCAGTCAAGACCAAATGATAGTTGAGAAGCAGCAGTCAAGACCACATGAGAGTTAAGAAGCAGCAGTCAAGATCACATGAGAGTTAAGAAGCAGCAGTCAAGACCAAATGATAGTTAAGAAGCAGCAGTCAAGACCAAATGATAGTTAAGAAGCAGCAGTCAAGACCAAATGATAGTTGAGAAGCAGCAGTCAAGACCACATGAGAGTTAAGAAGCAGCAGTCAAGATCACATGAGAGTTAAGAAGCAGCAGTCAAGACCAAATGATAGTTAAGAAGCAGCAGTCAAGACCAAATGATAGTTAAGAAGCAGCAGTCAAGACCAAATGATAGTTAAGAAGCAGCAGTCAAGACCAAATGATAGTTAAGAAGCAGCAGTCAAGACCAAATGATAGTTAAGAAGCAGCAGTCAAGACCAAATGATAGTTAAGAAGCAGCAGTCAAGACCAAATGATAGTTAAGAAGCAGCAGTCAAGACCAAATGATAGTTGAGAAGCAGCAGTCAAGACCACATGAGAGTTAAGAAGCAGCAGTCAAGATCACATGAGAGTTAAGAAGCAGCAGTCAAGACCAAATGATAGTTGAGAAGCAGCAGTCAAGACCAAATGAGAGTTAAGAAGCAGCAGTCAAGACCAAATGATAGTTTAGAAGCAGCAGTCAAGACCACATGAGAGTTAAGAAGCAGCAGTCAAGACCACATGATAGTTAAGAAGCAGCAGTCAAGACTACATCATAGTTAAGAAGCAGCAGTCAAGACCACATGATAGTTAAGCAGCAGCAGTCAAGACCACATGATAGTTAAGAAGCAGCAGTCAAGACCACATGATAGTTAAGAAGCAGCAGTCAAGACCACATGATAGTTAAGAAGCAGCAGTCAAGACCACATGATAGTTAAGAAGCAGCAGTCAAGACAACATGATAGTTAAGAAGCAGCAGTCAAGACTACATAATAGTTGAGAAGCAGCAGTCAAGACCACATAATAGTTGAGAAGCAGCAGTCAAGACCACATGATAGTTAAGAAGCAGCAGTCAAGACCACATGATAGTTAAGAAGCAGCATACAAGACTACATGATAGTTGAGAAGCAGCAGTCAAGACCACTTGATATTTAAGAAGCAGCAGTCAAAACTACATGATGGTTAAGAAGCAGCAGTCAAGACTACATGACAGTTGAGAAGCAGCAGTCAAGATACATGACAGTTGAGAAGCAGCAGTCAAGATACATGACAGTTGAGAAGCAGCAGTCAAGACCACATGATAGTTAACCCTTTCAGGGTTTCGGCCATACTAGTACAGCTTACGCGCCAGGGTCTTTGACGTACTAGTACACTCATAAATTCTAGCACCTTCAAATCTAGTGAGAGAAAGCTGGTAGGCCTACATATGAAAGAATGGGTCTATGTGGTCAGTGTGCGCAGTATAAAAAAATCCTGCAGCACACAGTGCGTAATGAGAAAAAAAAACTTTGACCGTGTTTTTGGATTAAACCAGCAACTTTGCACTCTATTTTCATATGGTATTTATTGTTGTATTCTAGTTTTCCTGGTCTCATTTTATAGAATGGAAGATATATTACAGAAATTGAGATGATTTTGACTGGTTTTACATTGAAAAGTACCTTGAAATTGAGCTCAAAGTAGCAGAAATGTTCGATTTTTACCAAAGTTCAAAAGTAAACAAATCATGCTAAGCATCCAATACACGTCAACTGGTGAGTCTAATATTCTTTCACAAGTGCGCCGATATTATTTATACCATTACTACACTAATGCAGTAGTCTGCATAACAGTAAATCTTCTATTTTTTGTGAGAATAAAAATTCAAAATGTAAGAGGGGTGTGGGGACGTAACTAATGAACAGAGGAAATGTTATTTTAGTGCCAGGAATGCCTTTCTTGTTTATTCTGGACCCTATTTTGAAATTGGCATCTTTTGAAATTTTGCATGAAATTGGCAAAATTGCTAAATTCTGACCACTGTATTGGATAGTTGAAATCGGTAAATGGGTGGTTTCTTGTACTCATTCGATAGAAAAAATGGAGTTCTAGTGAAACAGTTATGATTTCTGTCGACTAGTACATTGGAACTTGCCGAAAATAGGGCTCAAATTGGGCAAAATCGCCGATGCGTAAACATCGTCAAGACTGCTAACTTCAGGAGAGCATAATTCCTTAAGCTTTCCATCAAATTTCATACTTTTGGTGTCATTATGATTGGGAAAAGATTCTCTATCTTTTCATAAGAAAAAATCATTTTTTTTTTTTTTTTTTTTTTTTGGAAATTTGAGGGACCCTGAGAACAAGTCTCTGAGAGGGCCTGTGGACCCTGAAAGGGTTAATAAGCAGCAGTCAAGACTTCATGACAGTTAAGAAGCAGCAGTCAAGATCACATAATAGTTAAGAAGCAGTGGTCAAGAATACATGACAGTTAAGAAGCAGCAGTCAAAACTACATGACAGTTAAGAAGCAGCAGTCAAGACTACATGATGGTTAAGAAATGGCAGTCAAGACTACATGACAGTTGAGAAGCAGCAGTCAAGACTACATGGCAGTTGAGAAGCAGCAGTCAAGATTACATGACAGTTAAGAAGCAGCAGTCGAGACTACATAATAGTTAAGAAGCAGCAGTCAAGACAACATGAAAGCTGAGAAACAGCAGTCAAGACTACATGACAGTTGAGAAGTAGCATTCAAGACTACATGACAGTTGAGAAGCAGCAGTTAAGACTACATGACAGTTGAGAAGCAGCAGTCAAGACTACATGATAGTTGAGATGCAGCAGTCAAGACTACATGGTAGTTGAGAAGGAGCAGTCAAGGCTACATGATAGTTGAGAAATATTAGTCAAGACTACATATTTGAGAAACAGAAGTAAAGACTACATGATAGTTTAAAGGCAGTAGTCAAGACTACATGATAGCTGAAAGGCAGTGGTCAAGACTACATGATAGCTGAAAGGCAGTAGTCAAGACTACATGATAGTTAGGAGCAGCAGTCAAGATTACATGAATAGTTGAGAGGCAGCAGTCAGGACTACAAGACAGCTGAGAGGCAGCAATAATTTTAACGAGTCTTCAGGTAAGAAAGTAATGTATTTTCTTCACGTTCTTTTTGGGCATTTTTATCTATGGTCTTCAGTAAAGGATGTATTGGAATGACCAGTATATTATCTCTTTTTTTTTTTTTTTTTAACAAACCGGCCATATCCCACCAAGGCAGGGAGGCTCAAAAAGAAAAATGAAAGTTTCTCTTTTTAAATTTAGTAATTTATACAGGGGAAGGGGTTACTAGGCCCTTGCTCCCGGCATTTTAGTCGCCTCTTACAACACACATGGCTTACGGAGGAAGAATTCTGTTCCACTTCCCCATGGAGATAAGCGGAAATAAACAAGAACAAGAACTAGAAAGAAAATAGAAGAAAACCTTGAAAATAGAAGAAAACCCACATTATCTCCCTGTATCATACAAAAATCTGTCTTCAGAGAAAATCATTCTATTACATCAATTCAGATTCTGAGTCATTACCCTCTCAGTCATAAGGGCATTAAACCTGCTGGGGGTCACAAAGAACCCAAG